TTTGCAGGTTAAGCGCCCTTTCTCTGCTGCCACAAATCTAACAGCACTGCCTTCCCTCGTGTTAGGTTTGATACCCTCATCATCTTTGCTGCCTTGACTGCAACGATACTCAATACCACCCTGAAATCGAGTAAGTGCAGCTTAAGCAGTCTGCATGCCTCTGGGAAACTCGGTGGTCTTGAGTCGTCTTTTGCCATCACCTTGGGCTTGGGAGGCATTTTGACAGGACAATGAATTTCCTATAGGGTTTCTAAGAACTAACCCAGTCTTTTTTCTTTTTTTTTTTTAATAAATACTGTTAAAAACAGTGTTTGACCAGGGCATAATTATAACAAATGTAAGAACATGCTCTATCTCTACACTTCCCTGCTTATTTTTCTTAACAAAAAACCTTTTTTTCCTTTCTCAGCCACAAAGTACAACAGCCAACAGATCCTGGACATTGTCTTCATCTTAAGGGTCCTCAGACTAGTAAGGATTGTTGACAGCATTCAAAGGTAATGAAGAGAGTGGGATGGGGATATGTGTGTGGTGTTTTGTTTGGGTTTTTGGGGGGGGGGGCAGGTTGTGTCAGAGGCTGGCTGAGACAGTGCCTTGAGTCGCTCTGCGTGGCTGCTTTGGACTGACCGTGGCCACTCAACAAAGCATCCCAAGGCCTTGTCCCAGCGTGCCTGGGATGAGCCCAGTTGCTGCAGCCTCTCTGGAGACCTGCTTGTATAAATAAGGGCATGTGGGGAGCATGTGCTGGATGGGATGTGACGATAAGCAAGCATGGGCTTTAAAAGAGCCTCCCCACAGCAGGTGTTGTCATGAATCATTTGCTGTAGGTTCCGGGTCATCATCAACACACTGATAAACATCGTACCGACAATGTTGACATTTGGTGGGCTGACTCTGGTAAGAAATCCGGGTATCTTAGCTCAAAGCACTCCAGTTTTACAGGAATGTGTCTTAAGTCTCACGCTCATGCTGTTTTCAAGAGGATAAATGCAAATCTCTGGATGGCTGGCCTTTGAAACTGTAAGTGTCCATTTGATCCTTGGTCATCGCACATGTAAACGCGTGCAGAGGGGTCGGGTTCCTGCTAGTTGCCAGGCCAGGACTTTCTTCTTCGCTCCACGGGGCAGTGAGGATGTTCTGTGCAGTCTGGGCTTCACGCTGTAAGGAACCAAACCGTGATTTGGGCAAGAAGCTGAATGAGAAACCTGTTTCTCAAATAATTTCCTAAAAATAAGTTCTCCTCTTACGATTGAGAATATTTCATTTCCATGTATTTGAGCTGTAGTTCTTGGCTTATTATTCCTGCCTGGTAATTGCCCTTGAGTGGGTTGGGTCTCTTGGACTCTGTGCTGCTCCTCAGCAGCTTGCCGTGTCTGTAAAAACTGGGAAAACCTGCTGGAACTCTAAACTTGCCACGGAGCTTGCTGCTCACTGGAGAAGCAGGCGATGGGGTTTCTCTTCCCAGGTTGTGTACTGTGTATTTGCTATCGTCGGCATGGAGTTATTCCATGGGAAAATCCAGTTCTTCCCTGCAAACTCGAATGCTCCTCATGCCCTGGAATGTGGAAACCCAGCTCTCAAGGATTCTCTGTTTGCCCGTGGGAAATACTGCAAGAACAACTTCAACAACTTCGCATCGTCCTTCATCGTCCTGATGGAGCTCACCGTAGTCAATCAGTGGCATGATATCCTTTGTGGTGGAAGGTCCAGACTAGAGCTTGGTGACCGACCCGTGCTCTTCCCCGTGTATTGCACGCACCCAGGCGCGTAGCGCCAGGCAACCGAGAAATGCTCCCTGCAGAGGGCTTTGTTCAGGAGGGCGCTGCTGGGCAGTATTCCCTGGTTCCTCCCTTAGCACTACTCTACAGCAAGGTGTTCTCCTCCTTTTGGCGCTCTTGCCCTTAACTCCCGTTATACTCTTTGCCAATGGATTTGCCAACGTGACGGTTCAGCCTGTGAAGCTGTATTTCATTGCCTTCCACATTGTGATGGTGATAATTATTGTCAAGTAAGTTTTGGGTTGCCCTCCTCTGTTGGTTTTTTTGGAGGGAAGAAGGGCTCTGCCCGCTGCCAGGGTGGTACTGATGGTCGCACACGGTGTGACTCTTACAGACAGGCAGGACATGTGTCGCAGAGGAGTCTGCTGCATCTGTTCTTATCTCCACTGAGTGCTGCTCTGACTTAGAGCTCCCCATCTCCAGCAGAGGAGGGGATGGCATGCTGGGGAACGAGCCTGGGAATGCCGAGACGGTAGTTGATGCCCAAAAGCAAGGGGGATGCCAGTAAGGAAATGCTGCTATGTAATTCTGCTCGTCGTTTCTTTTCAGTATCTTTGTGTCGTTCATTTTGGAAGCTTTCTTTGTGGAGTACTCCCTGGAGAAGAGTGAAGTAGAAACAGCCATTGAACAGAAAATCCAGGAGCTGGGAATGGGAGTTCAAGAGTAAGCCCCCCGAAACGGTTGTGCTGGATGTAGCTGGCTCGGCACATCTGATGAGGGCTCTGGGACTGCAGGAAAATGTCATCCCCCCCCCCAACCCCCCGGTCCTGTCCCGAGGTGTGAGCTGAGGCTCCTCTTCCTTGTCACAGAGTTCTTGCTAACCTGTCATGACCCTGCAGGGCTTGGTCTAGACGTTAGCAGAAGGCTACTCACGTTGGCCTCGTGTCTGCCTCGCTGAGCTCTTCCAGCCCAGGGCCGTTGCCCAGAGGGCAGGGGAGATGCCGGAGCCTGACAGCACGACTGGCGCTTGCCCTGCCCCAGAGAATCCATTGCTGCTGGGTACATGTGGGCCCCTGGGGTAAGATGTGCTCCCCCGGGGTAACTTCTGGTCCTTCTTGCGTAGGGATGAGCTCCAGGATGAACAGCTCCTTGATAACATGGAGACTGCTGAGCACGACCTCGAGGGGGAAGGTGGAACAAAGCCACAGTCGAAAGGGCTGATGTTTAAAATTGCCTCCAAACGTAAGTGCGGCGCTACGGTGTGCCCAGTCTTTTGTTTAAGAGGCCAAGGCTCTGAACCGTGCCTGATCCTAGCCCTGTCTCTGGGGAAGCTCCCACGCACTTCTGCTTCCTTTGGGCCGTAAAAGCGGCTATAAACCCAGCTGGAGATTTTGAGAGAACTGTGGACGCTCTAATATTGGCTGTCTCTTCTATTTTCGTAGCAACTCCTTTTCCTCCTTTCCTGCCTAGGCCCTCCTGTGCACACTTGTCTTCAGTAGCCAGTCTATGAAGACGCTGTCTTGGTGGCTGAGGTCCTGCTGTTGCCAAGAAGTCTGGTTTTTTTTTCTGCTTTTCTCCCTCCTGTATGCACTCTGTGTCCCTCCTGGCTTGGATCGCGGGGTGACTATGTGCTCCTTTCCTCTAGCTTAATGCCTACTTTTTCTTCTGGCTCTCTTGCTGTACCTTCGGAGTTCCCCAGTCTTGTGCTTCTCGGCACGGCAGCTGACTGGGATCACAAATCCATCGACGGACACATGGGAATAGAAGTGCTTAGAATCTTAAAATAATGGTCTTACCCTCTACAAGTGCTCACGGTGCTTGAAAGTATATGGGGTAAAATACCAGCAAACATCATCTGGGGCATTTGTTTTCTTGCCTGTTTAGTGTAAAACATGGGGAGCAGCCTTTGAGTAAGAGCTGCCGTAAGGTAGCCACTACAGAACTTCTGCTGAGGAACAGGAATGGATCCTTACAGTGACCTTTTATTTATTCTCTTCTTTTTTTGGCCACCTGCAGGGTACAGGACGGTTGACGCTCTGCTCCAGCGTATGTTTGAGGCAGAGATACCCCTTGAGGAGGAAGGCCCTTCATTTGAAGAGATCTCAAACTTGTCCCCTACCGCTGCTGCACCCAGTAACCTGACTTCGGAGCGTGCCGCGTAACAGGGGCGATCCACAGCAGTCGACGAGGAGGAGCTAATTCTCAGCTGCCCGGGGTCTCGAGCGTGTTCCCTGGCTGGCTGCCTCCAGGCGCGTGGGGGCCAGATCACACAGTGGAAGGGGCAGCTGACGCCGGCAACGGCTTCGTCACCCAGAGGAGCTTTATCTCCTGTAAAGTCTCGTATAAATGTTGAAACTGGAGCTACCCTCGGGGGGAGGGGGGGGAAGGCAGAGGGAGAGTCGGTGCCTCTGACCGCGCCGGTCGAGTAAGGGTGCCGTACTCGGTATGTTAACGCAATACCTGCTTCTTGTAACTGGAATCTTGTATTACAGCACTTTTATATGCGTATATGGACCGATGTAAGCTGAATTAAACAGCTCTCTAGTACGCTAAATTCACCAGTCTGAAAAAAATGGCTGATTCTGACGGAGTTAATGATGGGAGGTGGCTGGGTGTGAGGCACCGTATTCTCACCCTTGGGGACTGCTAACAGGCACAGGGAACCGTGGCTCTCTGTACGTGCAGAGGATGTAATCTGAGCAAAGCGGAGGGCAGCTCTCGCTCGCCACGACCAAGGGGCAGACTCGCCCTACGCCGCCTTTCCCTTTGCTAAATCTGAATTTATTATTTTATATAGATTCCTGCCCCCCCTCCCCTTGCCTGGCAAGGGATGCCCTGGGGTAATACGTGCCCCCGGCTCCCACGGCCTTGCCTTGCCCCATACCCCTGGCTCCCATGGCTGGGCCCCACAGCCTCGCC